CACCCCACACCTGTTTACCTGTTCTACTATGGTGAGCCAGGTGGCACCCCACACCTGTTTACCTGTCCTACTATGGTGAGCCAGGTGGCACTCCACATGAGCTTTGTCAAGCCGTTACAAACAGTACATGGACACAGAGGGAATATATAGGCTCAGAGCGAGGTGCAAAACTTGTGGTAGTAGTAGTAGTGGTAGTGATATAAGTTGCAGTAGTAGTAGTAATAATACAATATGTTAGAACAATTAAAAGTTATTACTTGGGTAACATAAACATAGGTTAGACAAATTTTTCCATTGAAGGCTGGATAGAGAAGGCCTGTTTCAATGTTCATTTTCTGTAATGTGCTTGTGTAGTGATGGCAGGGTTTACAGTTTTCAGGAGGATTCTTGCTAAGACTTCAGAGATGGTGAAGCTGCCTTTGTTTTGTTTAATTGTATTAGAAACAACGATTAGTGAAGATTCAAGACGCTTGTGTCTGAGGAAATTAGTTTCACTTAGTTGCACTTGTGTCCTTTTACTTTATATATTGTCGGTAATTCTACCAACTTTTTTATAATCGACTATTTTGTTTATGCAAGAGTCTTAGTGGGTCCCAGTGCTGTCACACAAGTTAATGTCACAAAGTAACTTTATGGTGAACAAAAATGCTATTGCACTTATGCATGGCCGGGTATTAAGTAGAAATACCCTTCAAACTTCAGCACCTCTCAGACTTCATTACCTCCCAAACTTCATAGTCTCAAATTTATAGCCTCTCAAACTTCATAACCTCACCAACTCCATAACTTCTCAAACTTCATAACCTCTCAAACTTCATAAATTCTCAAACTTCATAACCTCTCAAGCTCTATAACCTCTCAAACTTCATAACTTCTCAAACTTCATAGCCTGTCAAACTTCATAACCTCTCAAACTTCATAACATCTCAAACTTCCTAACCTGTCAAACTTCATAACATCTCAAACTTCATAACCTCTCAAACTTCCTAACCTGTCAAACTCCATAACATCTCAAACTTCATAGCCTCTCATACTTCATTATATCTCAAACTCCATAACCTCTCAAACTTCATAACATCTCAAACTTCATAACCTCTCAAACTTCCTAACCTGTCAAACTCCATAACCTCTCAAACTTCATAACCTCTCAAACTCCATAACCTCTCAAACTCCATAACCTCTCAAACTTCATAACCTCTCAAATTTCATAACCTCTCAAACTTCATAACCTCTTAAACTGCATAGCCTCTCAAACTTCATAACCTCTGAAATTTCATAGCCTCTCAAACTTCAATGCCTCTCATACTTCCTTATATCTGAAACTTCACAGATTCTCAAACTTCACAGACCCTCAAACTTCCTAACGTGTCAAACTTCATAACCTCTCAAACTTCATAACTTCTCAGACTTCATAATCTCTCAAACTTCATTACTTCCCATTTCAAAACAGCCTAGAGACTGGATCAATACTATACAACCTCGTAATTGGATCAAGAAAGTCACAGTGAAGTCTGGAGATTGATTGGATCGCTACTATACAGTTCAACCTAATGACTGGATCAGGGTTGTTCAAAGGAGCCTAGAGATACATATCAATAATACACAATATACAATAATGTGAAGTTGATGAATAAGACGAATTCACAATTCTTTGGTATTTTTAATGTCAAAAAGTACCGCCTACACAGCAGGCTTCTTCAGTCGAGTACAAGAGTTTAATACAGGAAACAGTAGGCGGTGGTCAGTCCTTTAGTGTGAAGGTACTGACCACCGCATGGGTCCAGAATGTAACTGAAGCAGAAATAAAGTATAGCAGAGTGTGTTCTACTGAAGAAGCCTGCTGCACAGGCATTAAAAATACTGACGTACTGCACATGTGTCTCACTCATCAGTCTCTAGACTGGACCGAACCCGTGACAAGTCACAGCACAAACAGCCCGTGACAAGTCACAGCACAAATCTACCCTAAGGTAAAAGTCGAATTTTCACTTACGATTGTAACCCAAAATCTCGACACACATTACTTAGCTTTGATTACGATAAGTTTATTTAAGCCCTATCTCATAAGCCAAAATTTAACAAATTATAACATGCCATAAGGGTAATAAATGCAAAAACGAAAGCGACAGAAAGTCACAGTGAAATACTGACTTTGATGAAGATAGTCTCAGTAGTGACTCACTGAGTCGTGAGCTGGTGACTTGGTGGCCAGACAGCTTTATCTGTATGATTCTCAAGGCTTTATTTCCCACGATTAGGATAATAATAATAATAATAATAATAATAATAATAATAATAATAATAATAATAATAATAATAATAATAATAAGAATAAGAATAATAAGAACAATAATAATAATAATTGATAATAATAATAATAATATCAACAACAACAACAACAACAACAATAATATTAATAATAATAATAATAATAATAATAATAATAATAATAATAATAATAATAATAATAATAATAAATAATAATAATAATAATAATAAAAATAATAATACATGTTGGGAAATGGAGTTGGACCTGAAACCCAATCGACGTTTCGATTCTTCATGGACAAACAGCGAGGCGCTAATTACTTGTGAATTGTTCCAGCTAGGTCAGTGAGGGTGGTGAATTGTTCCAGCTAGATCAGTGAGGGTGGTGAATTGTTCCAGCTAGGTCAGTAAGGGTTGTGAGTTGTTCCAGCTAGATCAGTGAGGGTGGTGAATTGTTCCAGCTAGGTCAGTGAGGGTGGTGAATTATTCATCTACGATTTTGTGGGTTAGTTGTGAATTCTTCCTGGACTATAGTGGGTTATTTGCAGTTTGATTAAGCCTCACTATTGTAGACTTGTGAATTTTTCCAACTACGTCACTGTGAGTTACCACATTAAGGGTTAGTTGTGAAATATTCCAGCTATGGCTTCGTGGTTTAGTTGTGACTTAGTACAGCTGCGGCATTGTGGGATAGTTGTGAAATGTTCCAGGCTCAGTATTGTGGGTTAGTTGTGAATTGTTCAGACCACGGGATACTGTCTCGTTTTCTCCCAAGTAAGATGTATAACGGTCAAGACAAGGTTCCTCTTCACTGCCTTGATAAGAAACAGGAAGAAACTTGAGATGCATTGTTGATCTTTTATATGTCAATGGAAACTAGTTGCTATGATGATAGTGACAAGTGTGTTGATCATGCTATGATGATAGTGACAAGTGTGTTGATCATGCTATGATGATAGTGACAAGTGTGTTGATCATGCTGTTATAATAGTTACGAGGGTGTTGATCATGATATGATGATTGTGACAAATGTGTTGATCACGCTATGATGATAGTGACAAGTGTGTTGATCATGCTATGATGATAGTGACAAGTGTGTTGATCATGCTATGATGATAGTGACAAGTGTGTTGATCATGCTATGATGATGGGGCGGGGTGGTTGATCATGCTATGATGATAGTGAACAAGTGTGTTATCAACTGATAGTTACAAGGGTGTTATCATGATAGTTGAACAAGTTTGTTATAATGCTATGATGATAGGGACGTGTGTTGATCATGTATGATGTTTGTGAAAGTTTTGATCATGCTATGATAATAGTGGGGGGGTTTTTGATAATGCTAAGGTAAATAGTGACAAGTTTGATCAGGCTATAATGATGGGGGACAAGTGTGTTTGATATTTTGATGATCGAGAGGGTTGCGTTAAAAATCTTTTGATATGTATGATAAAGGACAAGTTTGTGATCATGCTATGATAAAGGGGAGGTGGAAAATTTGTTGATAATGCATTGATGATATGAAAGGGTTTGTTGATCATGCTATGATGATAGTAGCGGGGGTGTTGATAATGCTATGATGATAGTGACAAGGGTGTTGATCATGCTATGATGATAATGACGATGGTACGTTGATCATGCTATTTTGATAGTGACGAGGGTATTGATCATGCTATAATGATAATAACAAGTGTGTTGATCATGCTCTGATGATAGTGACAAGTGTGTTTATCTTGCTATGATGATAATGGCGAGTGTGTTGATCATGCTATTAAAAGGCAGTGTGAATGTTTTAATAGGGGCATGGCGCTATGACGGGGATAGATGAATATCCTATGCGCAAGAAAAGGGGATGCTGATCATGCTATGACGCAAGAGATGAGGATGCTGATCATGCTATGACGCCAATGACGAGGATGCTGTTCATGCTATGACGCAAGAGATGAGGATGGTGATCATGCTATTACGCTAGTGATGAGCATTCTGATCATGCTATGATGCTAGTGACAAGGATGTTGATCATGTTACGACGTTAGTGATGAGGATGCTGATCATGCTATGATGCTAGTGACGAGGATGTTGATCATGTTACGACGTTAGTGATGAGGATGTCGATCATGCTATGATGCTCGTGACGAGGGTGTTGATCATGCTATGACGCTGGCGACGTGGTTTTTATGCTAAAATGTGCTCAACAGTTCAAGCAAGTCGGGTAATAACCCTTGCCGAGGCCTGGTTAAATTACTTCTCACGTCAATGTTTTCTCACTACTGTCTCGTAGGTGGAAAGATCCTTGAGGTTGAAGGACCCTCAGTCCCTTCCTAGGATCTCATTACTTCCGTTAAACTGGCAGGACTGCATGAGCCCTGCCAGTTTAATGGTTCCCCATGAATATTTAATGCAATTCTCACTCCTGTGACACTTGTATACACTTGTTACACTTACATACACAAATAACCCGCACATAGGAGAGGGAAAAATTTACGACGACGTTTCGGGCTGATTTGGACCATTTACAAAGTCACAGTGTGACTTTGTAAATGGTCCGAGTCAGACCGAAACGTTGTCCTAAGCTTTTCTCTGTCCTATGTACTGGTTATATCTATTATTTCGGTCACAATATTGTGCCTTTCTGTTCTTCAACCTCATATATTAGAATATTGACATTAAAAACGCTATTCAAACATTGTTTAATCCAGCATTGGTCAAACATGACTTCAGGTTTATATTACGTTGTATTCCTAATTCTGAAGAGGTTCCTCCTTAATGAACAGCACTCCACGCGCGGTACACAATCCGGGGAAGTTAACACTGATGTGCCTGGCTGGAGTGGAAGTGGCGAGCACACTGCAGGTTACCTTCACTCTTCAC